AAATAGCCACTGTCTTCAACCCCTAATAACACACCCCACCAAGACCGATTAAGCAACAAATACATCTCATCGTTGAGTTTGCTTATGTCAGTGTAACACCCTTGGCTCCGCTCATGTAGATAAAAATCAACTGCGGTCTTAGCCCAAAGGGTATTATCCAGAATTGTTTCCGGTAGTTGTCTCCTCTCCACTTCAGATACCGGAAGGGTACTAGCCGGTAACTCATACGAGAGCCAACTCTCATCCATCATGTACGGCAACGGTGGGGGTTTCTCAATAATTTGATATATTACCCCATGTGAATCGGGCTCTGGAATGGTGGGAGGGACCTCTTCAACGATGACAGTGGCCTCTTGAACGGTGGGGGGGACTTTTGAGGGATGATAGGGGCCTCTTAAACGATTGGAGGGGACTCTTGAGGGATGACAGGTGAGTCGGGCTTCTTCTTGCGAAGTCTTCGCACCATTGGGGTGAACCGAGTAAAACCATCTTTCTTATTCAATAATCTCGTCAGGTCTTCCACGTATAGATTCGGCCTCTCCAGCTCAGGAAAAACCCGGGATAACCATGATGGGCGGGTAATGTGTCTAGTGTACCGACCTACATCATCGTGTCCGAAGCGTAGACCGGTGATTAAGCAAAACTCCTCCCGCCCAAAACACGTATACGCCGGTGGAAAATCAAACCATATCTCTTCATCACGCCGTTGTATAGTATCTGGTAGATCCCTAGTCATGGTTTGAAGAAACAGGTGTGCCAACATCGCATCTCCACTGGGATGTTGTACTTTCAGCCATGGCCCGAAGCAAGTATCCTCAAACATTTTTCTTTGTGCAGGTGAAAGCTTCGACGCAATTGTTTTGGCCAGGCTGACTTTATTTCTTAAGGTCAATTGAGCCGAATAAAAGTTCTACAAAAACAATAAACATACTAAGTTAGATATACCAAAAACTACACTGTGAAGATATACCAAAAACAATAATAAACATAAAGAATAGTAGTTTATTCTTCAAACTTAAATTTGAAACACTGTGAATTTCTTATTTGTCTTTGTTTTTTGGTTGAAGTAATGCAATTCATTCAAGTTTCAATTTGCAGAAGAAGAATAGTTTCTGAAAATGAAAATCGCAACACGAAAATGACAATCGCAACGCGAATTTGACTATCGCAACGAGAGAATAAAATCGCGTTGCGATTTTGTCGTTGTGATTTTCATTTCGCGTTGCGATTCTCGGTTGATTTAATAAGCAATCTAAGTGAAATGGTTAATCTATTATTGAAATTACCAGTAAACTTATCATCAATTTCAATATGAAAAACCTAATAATAATGCAAAAATTTCAAAAAGAAAATAATTAAAAAAACTAACCCTCGGTGGTTGATTTGGTTGATTTTCCATTTCTGATTGTGAGGGTGGCTCTAAGAGATGGAGATATACGGATTTCGCCGGAGATGAGGACGGATTTCGTCGGAGATGGGTGAGAGAGTGAGAGATGGAGATGGGACTGAGTTGTGATTTTAGGTTTTAGGTTATGAGTTACGATTACGGGATATACTGTGGACGGTTCAGTGTTTCAATATATTAATATTCGTGTTTGGAATTTGAAAATAAAATACGCTTTGCGATACTAATGGCGCTTTGAAAATCGCATTGCGATTATGTATTATCTCGTTACGAAAGTTAGTATCGCGTTGCGAAAGTAAGTATCGCGTTGCGAAAGTCAGTATCGCGTTGCGAAAGTCAGTATCTCGTTGCGATAGTCAGTATTGCATTGCGATTTTCCAAATTCCCATTGCGATTTACTTATTCGCATTGCGAATTGGGAAAATCGCAACGCGAAATTGGAAAATCGCATTGCGATAGTAATAATCGCGTTGCGAATCTGGAAACTGATTTGCGATAATGGAGATCGCGTTGCGAATTAGCGATCGTATTGCGATTTTGTTGGTCATTTTGGTAAATCCGGAAAAAGTTGGTTAAAATCGTATATTATATGAGATTTTTGGTCACTGAGGTTATTTTCTCTTTGTTTTAAATCATAAAAAGACCACAACTTCAAGATCCCCTTTGATTTTATGACGATAGAGAATCTTCTTTCAAATTTCAACAATGAGAAAGTGAAGGAGGAGTAAATGAGATATATACTCTAATTAGGGTCGATCCTGACATTTTAAGAGTCCTAGGCAAAATAAAAGATAAGGGTCCTTAAAAAATAACTTAAAATTCAAGATTAAATTTCGGTAAACGCCAAACAAATTTTTCATTAAAAATTATACAAGTAGATTCTATTACATTACCAACATTATTTTACCAAATATATAAAGAGACATCACAATTTTTCACTCAATTTACTCCTATCATGTCTTCAATCATCTCTTAGAATCATTTCTCTCAATCGAAAATTGACGCCTCTCACCTATAAAACAACATACACAAATTCTCATAAGAAACAGTTTCTTCTAGCATTTTGAGATACAAAGTCATTGATAATAACATCAACATCAATGTTTTCTATCATCTCCTTCTCAATAGATAATGTTGCTAAACCATTGTTATCTTGATATAATTTTTCATTGGATCCTCGAAATGCAAGATTATGTTTAGCAAGATATTTCACAACAGAAAATATTCTTTGTAACACTTGTATCCAACGCTCTTTCTCTTTCATAATATCTTCTTGCAAATTTTTATCGATTGTTTGATTTTTATCCAATCTTACTCTCAATTCATTCCAAGTATTCATATTAGTCATATGTTCAACACTATTTTCATGTTGTTTAAGCCTTTGGCTAATATGTTTCCAATCACTTAAGCCATCATTTGATAAAAAACTTACATTACTAATCGATTTGAACAACTTGCAACAAAACAATATACTTTGTCAACATTTTTGGAATAAACTAATCATTTTCTATCACTAGTCTCACCATTGCTCAACTTTCTAGAATAACATGTATATGAGAAATGTCTATAATATTTATCAATAGGAAATTCAAGATCCATTTCTCTTATGGGCCCTTTTCAACTAAAATATCCCTCGCATTATTGTCAATATTCTCCTAATTTATAGGATCATATATATTCAAATGAGGAAGTGTTTCTTCACCAATGCCTAAATTTTCAACATTTTCATCAATTGGCACATCATTAAAGTCAATTAGATCATTCACTTCATCATTCACATTTTCAGAATTTCCAGGGTTTTCAGTATGCAAATTTTCAGTTGATTGATTCAAAATTTCATGATAATCAACCTTTTTAAACACAAATTTATCAAGAGCACCTTTTTGTGACTTCTTTAACTCCTTCTCTCGCTTATTTTTTTTTCTTTTTTCACTTCCAGACAAATGTTTTAAAGGACTCGAACTCAAGATCCGCTTAAGAGATATCAATCTACTTATCACTTGAATCACCCTGTTAGTGTTATGTGGTAATATTTTGAATATGTCTTTATTAAATTTAAGATAGTGGTATTACATAGTTTTATAATAAGAAAAATTATTTGTAATCTAATTTGTTTCATTTATGATGTTAAAATTTAAACTTTATCTTATACAAAAAAATTAATAATTTATCTCATTAGACTAATTAATTATTAGTAAATATTATGTAAGAGGTTATATAAACTAATTGAGTTAAATTATGAGTTAATTCTATGTAATTTTGATTAAAATAATAGTCAATTTTTTTGGACAATAACTTAGTTAATCACAAATAAAAAAATGAAAATTTATTTTAAAAATAAAATAATTCAAAGTTTTATAAAAGCATTAAAAAAATAATTTTATTGCCACTTCTACTACATTTCATTCTATTCACTTTGATCCATCAATAAAGCCCAACAAATATAGGAAAAGGCTGAAGTTTTGGGTTCATGACTTTTATGCACTTAGATTTGGATTTTACTTTCACCTAAATTATCTCATATTTTAGTATTATTTTAAATCTCATCACATTTGACTTGTTTTTAATTTATTTTTTAACAAGAAATGCCAACTTTATTCCATTACTAAAAATTAGCTGACCCTATTCCCATATGTAAGTGGTGAGGGAGAGGTAAGATAGTAAACTGCCCCCAACGAGTTGAGAGCGGCTTCCGTGGAAGACCTCCGGCAGTCAGAATTATGAATTGCCCACCGTGGGACTCGATCCCACGACCACAAGGTTAAGAGCCTTGCGCTCTACCAACTGAGCTGGACGAACAATTATTCCATTACTAGAGTATTAAAATCATTTCTCCTCATTAATGTGGTATACAACTGGAACCAAAATACTAAAACGTCTAAAATGAAACTAAAACAAATCTAGAAACCTAAATAGCCGGCCTTTCTTATTTTGCTATTAACATTTCTTCATGACACGAGTGAAGCAAGAAGAAAACAAAATCCAGATTGAACCTGGAGCGCGACCCATCAGGGGGGCCCTCCAAACCTAGGCCCTAGGCGGTCGCACTCCGTACCTAGGCTCAAGGCCGACCCTGACTCTAAATTTACGCAACTTGGACGATAAAGATTATGGATCAAAGTCAATTTTATCTTCTTGTGTGGTTAGAGAAGATGTTGAAAAATGACGGTTTCAATATCAATGTGACACAATGACAAAACTTTTAAGAATTTCATCTTTATAGGGAAAAAAGGAGAAAGCAAAAAAAAATGATGTGACCAACATGTTGCTTCTATGTCAATATAATGCAGTCCATGTCTACACAAAACTGGTTATGTGACATTGTTATTTTTTATTTAACGTCCAAATGACAAAAAGAATGAAGTAATTTAAAAAATTTAATGATCAAATTAAATTTGTTTAAAGTTTAATGACCAAAAAAGGAACAAGATCAAATTACAGTGGTAATATTTGTAGTTTAACCATTAACTATTTTCATCCAATTAAAAGAAAAAAATAGTACATATGAATAATATAAAATATTAACCAGCAGAACAACTATTAAAATATAACTTTTGTATAAATTATTAGGAGTCCAGCTTCAATTCCGCGTATCTTCGCTCTCCCAACTTTTATTGTTCTTTCTTTCCTTTTTTTTCTTCCATTTTATTTTCTCTCCGATTATTAGGGTTTCATTCAGCTCCTGACGCCTCTTCGTCGATCGGCTGAAGGTAAAGTTTGCATAGAATTTCTTGCATTTTTTAAGTTATACCTTTTCCGAGTTCATTTCTGTAAGTTTCATTTATGGTCTGTAATTAGGGTTTTGAATAGTGCTTTCGTTGTATATTCGCTACTGAACGCATTGATCCGCGCTCTCTCTCTCTTATTGTTCATATTCCATAGCTTCTGTTTATTTGGAGTACTAATTCCAGTATTAGATTTTTGTTGGAAATATTTGAGTGATAAAATTTCTTTTTCTTTTTTGTGTTTATTTTTAAGCGAATTTGATCTGCTAGATTTTTTTTACTTCCTCAAATGTTAAATTTAAGTTTTTAATGTCTGATTTCTACATTGATCTTGAATATTTAAGCGTTCCTCTCAGCTGCTGAATATGTCAGTGGAGGTGAAAATTGGGTTTTGACGGATCATTGATTCATTAGCCATATGTTGGTGTTATCCCTGTTACTATCGATTCCTGTCTTTCAATTAATTTTAAGGGAGCTGTTTAATGTTAGTTTTCCTTCCATTTGGATGGGTTCGTCCTTATGCTGTCTTTTTTACCCTTAATGTAGATCAGGATTTAGGTGTTGCAATCTTGATGCTGTTTAGCACTGGATTTCTGTGTATCTAATTGATTAAATCATTTATGCTTTTGGAAATATTACAGCCAATGGAGGTTACCCAAGTGCTTTTGAATGCACAATCAATAGATGGGGCTGTTCGGAATAATGCCGAAGAAAGCTTGAAACAGTTTCAGGAGCAGAACCTTCCTGGTTTCTTGCTTGTACTCTCTGGGGAATTGGTAAATGAGGAGAAGCCTGTGGAAACACGCAAGTTAGCGGGTTTGATACTTAAGAATGCGTTGGATGCTAAGGATCAGCAGAGGAAGGTTGAGCTTGTTCAAAGATGGTTGTTGTTGGATGGCAATGCCAAGAGCCAGATTAAGTCAGGTTTACTGAAGACTCTTTCTTCTCCGGTATCTGATGCTCGGTCAACTGCATCTCAAGTTGTTGCCAAGGTTGCTGGCATTGAGTTGCCACATAAACAGTGGCCCGAGTTGGTAGTTTCACTTTTATCAAATGTTCATCAGCTACCAGCTCATGCTAAGCAAGCCACTTTGGAGACTCTTGGGTATTTGTGTGAAGAGGTCTCCCCTGATGTCATTGATCAAGATCAAGTAAATAAAATACTTACGGCTGTAGTTCAAGGCATGAGTGCTTCCGAAGGGAACATTGATGTAAGGCTTGCTGCCACAAGAGCACTTTACAATGCTCTGGGATTTGCTCAGGCAAATTTCAGCAACGATATGGAGCGTGATTATCTCATGAGAGTTGTTTGTGAGGCAACCCAGTCCCCTGACGTGAGAGTAAGGCAAGCAGCTTTTGAGTGTTTGGTTTCAATTTCATCAACTTATTATGAGAAACTAGCCCCTTATATCCAAGATATTTTTAACATCACAGCAAAGGCAGTCAGAGAAGATGAGGAGCCTGTGGCTCTTCAAGCGGTTGAGTTTTGGAGTTCAATATGTGATGAAGAGATAGATATTTTGGAAGAATATGGAGGTGATTTTACTGGAGACTCTAATATTCCTTGCTTTTACTTTATCAAGCAAGCAATCCCTGCCCTTGTTCCTATGTTGTTGGAGACACTGTTGAAACAGGAAGAGGATCAGGATCAGGATGAAGGGGCATGGAATATTGCGATGGCTGGTGGTACCTGTCTTGGGTTGGTTGCACGGACTGTAGGAGATGATATTGTCCCTCTTGTTGTGCCATTCATTGAGGAAAACATAACAAAACCAGATTGGAGGCAGAGGGAGGCAGCAACTTACGCCTTTGGTTCAATCCTGGAGGGCCCTTCCCCTGAAAAATTGATTCCACTTGTGAATGTTGCCTTGACATTCATGCTTACTGCTTTGACAAAGGACCCAAATAGCCACGTCAAAGACACTACAGCCTGGACCCTTGGACGAATTTTCGAGTTCCTTCATGGCTCAGCTGTAGATACACCCATCATCACTCAGGCAAATTGCCAACAGATCATCACAGTTCTGCTACATAGTATGAAGGACACCCCAAATGTTGCTGAGAAGGCCTGTGGTGCTCTCTATTTTCTTGCTCAAGGTTACGAGGAAGTGGGTCCATCATCTCCTTTAACTCCCTTTTTCCAGGAAATTGTTCAGTCTCTTCTCACTGTCACTCACCGTGAAGATGCTAGGGAATCCCGGTTGAGGACAGCTGCATATGAGACATTAAATGAAGTGGCGAGGTGTTCAACAGAAGAGACAGCTCCATTGGTGTTGCAATTGGTGCCTGTCATTATAATGGAGCTTCATAACACTCTTGAGGGCCAGAAACTGTCATCCGATGAAAAGGAGAAGCAGGGTGAACTGCAAGGCCTTCTTTGTGGGTGTTTACAGGTCATTATTCAGAAGCTTGGTTCATCAGAATCAACCAAGCATGTGTTCATGCAGTATGCAGATCAGATAATGGGGCTTTTCCTAAAGGTTTTTGCCTGTAGGAGTGCAACTGTGCACGAGGAGGCCATGCTTGCAATCGGAGCCCTTGCTTATGCAACAGGGCCTGATTTTGCGAAATACATGCCAGAATTTTATAGGTACTTAGAAATGGGTCTTCAGAATTTCGAAGAGTACCAAGTCTGTGCTGTCACAGTTGGTGTTGTGGGCGATATTTGTCGGGCATTAGAGGAAAAAATTGTTCCTTACTGTGATGGGATTATGACACATCTTCTCAAAAATTTATCGAGCAACCAGTTGCATAGGTCTGTAAAGCCTCCTATATTTTCATGCTTTGGCGACATTGCATTGGCAGTAGGTGAGTATTTTGAAAAGTACTTAATGTGGGCCATGTCTGCGCTTCAAAGCGCGGCAGAGTTGTCTACCCATACAGCAGGTGATGATGAATTAATAGAGTACATAAATACTCTGAGAAATGGAATACTGGAGGCATATTCTGGGATTTTCCAAGGGTTTAAGAACTCTCCGAAAACCCAGCTTTTGATTCCCTATGCACCTCATATCCTCCAGTTCTTAGATGGTATATACATGGAGAAAGACATGTGAGTTCTTCTAAAAGATACTCTTTACTCAATTGAATGGCTTCTTTTATGACGTGTGGTTATTAACATTTTTCTTATGTTCTGTATTTCCCCCTAGGGATGATGTGGTCATGAAGGCTGCCATTGGTGTCCTTGGAGATCTTGCTGATACCTTAGGCAGTCATGCCGGTTCTCTGATACAGCAATCTGTCTCGAGCAAGGACTTTTTAAATGAATGCTTGTCTTCGGAAGACCTTATGATTAAAGAATCAGCTGAATGGGCCAAGCTGGCCATTACTCGTGCCATTTCTGTTTGAGGGTGTTGCCATTCAGCTTCATCTTGTTTATTTTCTTTTGGGAAGTCCATGCATCTGGGTGTGTCGAGTTGAGGGTCTGGGATTGCATGTGTCAAGTCATAGCCATTGTCCGATAACTGAAGTTGTCCATCTTCAAGTTGTCACTAACTCTTGCATCATAATCATCGGGTCAGATTCCATCATTAATCAATGGAAGAAGTGGATAGATATGGTTTCGGAGAAGTTGATAAACCTCTGCTTGTTATCGGAGGAGACTTGCAGTTAGGACATGACCAATGTGTCAATAGAAGCATAATTTTTTTTTTGCCTAGGAGCGGTTTCTGGCTGTTAAATTGCAGGTTACTGGAAACAGATGATTAATGATCAGTTTCAGAGTGCTGCTGCAGTTCAAGACATCTCATATGCTTCACATTACCATAGCTGTTCGATCTACGAGTTCTGGTTCTGAAGTTTAGTTAAAGTCTGCTTCTTTTGTATAACTTGGTTTTGGTGCGGTCAAGAGTTAACCATATATACTGCATGCTATTGGGAGCATTGCATCCAGCATTTCTTTTTCCTCTTTTTTTCCCCAAAAGAAGATTCAATTGTTAGAACAAGTCAGGAGTCAATTGTTCAAATATCATGCATTCATATTTTGTTTTGTTTTGAAATTGCCTTGGATTTTACTCTTGTTCAATTATTACTATTTTCCCTAAACAATTACATTTTCATTTGGCATTATTTCACGCCAATGATAAAGGAGTACAAATTGATGCTATTGTGGGAATTATGATTCGCTTGATCATGTCTTTCTGCAATATCCGAATGCTAAAGGTGAATATGGCAGGAAACAGGTTATGCCCCTGTGCTGGAGCGAATGATAATGATACAAGTGCTTGTCTGTTCACGGCTTATGGTAGTTTAGAAACCAAACATGTTGGAATTCTGTTGACACGAAAAGGTCGTGTGTGAGTAGTGTTTTAGGCAAACTTTGTTTTCTATCTTATCTCTAACACTATCTCCTAATTTATAGAAAAGGTGACTCCTATCTTATCTAGTTCTGTAATTCACATGTATAAAACTCTTGTGTATCCTCGTGTAAAATTGTATCTTTTTCTTTGAATAAAAATTACTGTCTTCATCAGAAAATCTTAGTATACATGGTATAAATTTAGATTCGATCCATTGTTCCTCTTTTCCGGCCGTCATGGTATATCCTTCTTCGTCCGACTTGCCATCCGAGGCTGAAACTTTTATTGTTCAGTCGCCTCCTTCTGACTTTGCTCCCTCGTCAATTACTTGTCATCGCCTAAATGGTGAGAACTATATTGCCTGGTTTCAATCTGTGCGTCTGTTCATCACCAGTCGTCGGAAGCAACAATATCTCTCTAAAAATATGCATGTCCTTGATCCCTTTGACCCCCAATACGACACTTGGTTCACCGAGAACACCATGATTATGTCTTGACTCCTCAACTTTATGTTGCCCGACATTAGTGCGAACTTCATGCTCTACACCACCGCCTCGAAAATCTGGAACGTGACTAGGGAGACATACTCCAATCAGGAAAACATGTCCGCTTTGTTTGCCATTGAATGTCAGATTAATGACTTGAAGCAAGACGATCTCACTGTTACGCAATATTTCACCCAACTGTCTCGTTTATGGTAGCAGATCGATCTGTTCGAGTCTCCTGCTTGGCAAATTGGTGCAAAAGCTGAACTCTACAAAGGGTTGCTTGAAAAACACGTATTTTCCAATTCCTGTCGTGGTTGTCCGTCTCCCTTGATGATGTCCATGGTCGGATTCTGGGCATCAGGCCCCTTTTGTCTCTTCGTGAGGTGTTCTCTGAGGTTCGCTGCGAAGAAAGCTGTCGTTTTCTGATGCTTCATCCACTCGTTAAAAGTTCTGCCTTAGTTACCCATTAATCTGGTGGCGTCCATGTTAAGAGAGGTCGTCCCTAGTGCGATCACTGTCGGAAAACTGGTCTTGTTCGTGATAAATACTAAAAGCTCCATAGTCGTACGACCGACTAGACACCATCTAAATCCTCCTCGCGTCCATCTCAAGGTAACTCTACTGTCACGACATTGGAGGGTGGTTCCTTTACTCGTCAGCAGATGGACGATCTCCAGCAAATGTTTGGTCACTTATAGCTTCCTACTGCTCCTAAGTCCAAATCTGTATGCACTGTTAGTGATGGTAGTTCTCTTTTTGCCTTCTTATCCCCTTCACCTGGGTGTGTCTCTTGGATAGTTGATTCAGGGGCAAGTGATCATATGACGAGAAACTTCAGTCTTTTTTCCATGTTTCACAAAAACGGTGTCTCATGTAGTGTTCGTACTGTTGATGGCTCCCTATCACCGGTTGAGGGAAGTGGCTCAATTTGCCTTAATCGCCACATTCTTCTGTCTAATGTTTTCTATGTTTCGAGTTTGACTTGCAATCTTCTTTCGATTAGCAAATTATCTATAGATTTGGGTTGTACTTTTCATTTTAATCGCGATTGTTATGAATTTCAATATTTTACCTCGGGGATGGTGATTGGCAATGCTAGGCGTTGTGGTGGACTCTACATCCTTGAAGCTCATCCTACTCTCGTTGCAGCCCACTCACCTTCGCCATTTCTTCCTTCATTTGTTTCCGTTTATCCTACAGATGTGGTTGTCGAAATTGTGTTATGGTATTTTAGGTTAGGTCACCCCAGTTTTTATTATCTTGCAAAATTGTTTCCAAAATTGTTTATTACTAAAAATTCTGCATCATTTTCTTGTGACATTTGTTTTCTTGCAAAGAACATTCACAACTCTTATCCTCATTCTCCCTCTCGCTTGCCTAAACTTTTTCTTTAATTCACAGTGACATTTGTTGACCTTCACGTGTTACGGGTTTATATGGAATTCGTTAGTTTATTACTTTTATTGACGACCACTCTCGTACCACTTGGACATTTCTTATGAAGGACAAGTATGAGTCTTGTACTATCTTTAAATGCTTCCATAAAATGATTGAAACACAATTCCAAAGTTTTATTGGAATCCTTAAATATGATAATGGTGGGGAATATATCTCTCGCTCGTTAAGATCTTTCTTCCAGGAAAACGAAATAATCCACCTCACTTTCTGTGTCGACACTCCACAATAAAATGGGGTCGCCGAACGTAAAACTCGTCGTCTTCTTGAGGTAACTAGAGCTCTCATTTTTTTCTTCTAACGTTCAGAAATACCTTTTGGGTGAGACCCTCTTAACAACTACCTTTCTCATCAATCGTCTGCCTAGGAAGATTCTTGTCTTTAAGTGTCCCCAGGATATCCTTTCGACAAATTTCCTTTATTTCAAACATTTTACCTCTTCTGTTCCTTTTCGTGTCTTCGGTTGTACTGCCTTTGTCCATGACCATAATCCTCATAATTCTAAACTTGATCCTCGAGCGATTCGGTGTGTCTTTGTGGGTTATTCATCTCTTCAGAAAGGTTATCATTGCTACTCTTATTCTACAAAATGGGGTTTCACTTCTATGGATGTCATTTTTCAATAGCATAAATTGTTCTTCTCCGAAACCGAAATCTAGGAAGAGAGTGAGTTAAAATTTCAATTTTTATCGATTACTACTGAGTTACCCATCAGTCCATCTTCTATTGAAACAACTACCACTCCACAACCTCTTAACACCACCACATTTGCTGATGAAAACCAATCCATTAATCCCGCCGACTCTCATGAAACACCCATGTCATCTACCGATATTCTCACCTACAAAAGACGATCTAAACAAGCCTACCGTCCACACCGCAGCCAATGCATTGTCAAGAGCCAGAACCAGGTTTAAATCCCTCGACAGACAGAGGAGATGGTGACCAAAGTAAGTTTGATGTGCTGATTGATAATAGTGAGTTGCCAATTGCTCAAAGAAAGAGAGTTAGACGATGTACAACTTATCCTATTAGTAAATTTGTTGCTTATAGTAAACTAATGCCTAGTTTCAAGACTTTTACAAATCAGGTTGATCATATTCACATTCCAGAGACCATAGAGGATGCATTAAAAAGTCTCGAGTAGAAGAAGGCAGTTGAAGAAGAACTTTCAGCTTTAGAAAACAACAAAACATGAGTCATCGTTGATCTACCTAAAGACAAGAAATCGGTCGGCTGTAAATGGGTCTTTACTGTGAAATTCAAGGCAGATGGAAAAACTAAGAGATATAAAGCTAGGATTGTGGAAAAGGGGTTTACTCAGACTCATGGAGTTGACTATATGAGACCTTTGTTCCAGTTGCAAAACTCAACACTGTTCGAGTTCTATTATCCTTGGCGGTGAACAAGGATTGGATACTTTAGCAACCAAACGTAAAAAATACATTCCTCGGTGGCAATCTTGAAGAAGAGGTCTATATGCAAGTTCCACTAGGAATTCATTCTGGAAATAACCGGGTATGTAAATTGTTGAAATCCTTATATGGTCTAAAACAATCACCTCAAGCTTGGTTTGACAGATTTACGAAGGTAATGTTACAAGACAACTACAAACAATGTCAATTCGATCCCACTCTATTTGTAAAACTGCTCTTGATAAGAAAAAGTCAATCTTGATGGTCTATGTTGATATCATCATCACGGATGGTGACTTAGTAGAAATCGAAAAGTTGAAGACCTTATTAGCAAAGAAGTTTGAAACCAAAGATTTGGGAACTCTGAGATATTTCTTAGGCATGGATATAGCGAGATCAATAGAATGAATTGTCATAAATCAAAGAAAGTACATTCTAGACTTACTATCTAAAATTGGAATGACTAATTGCAAGCCCTCATAAGCTCCTATGGAAGTTAACCTGAAATTGTGTAAAGATGGAAACCCGGTAAACAAGGAACAATATCAAAGGCTAGTTGGTAAACTCATTTATCTAACTAGACCTGACATTGCTTTTCTCGTTAGCATTGTTAGTCAATACATGAATGATCCTTAAGAAGAACATTTAGAGGCAGTTAATCGAATCTTAAGATATCTAAAGATGACACCAGAACATGGGTTAATTTTCAGAAAACATGAAGATAGAACAGTTAAAATCTTCTCAGATTCAAGCTGGGCTGGAGAAATAACAGATATAAGGTCGACCACAGGATATTGTTCATTTGTGTGGGGAAACAAGTGACATGGAGAAGCAAGAAATAATCAGTAGTATCCAGGAGCAGTGCAGAAGCAGAATATAGGGCAATAACACTCAGGATGTGTGAAGAAATTTGGCTACAAAGATTCTTAACTGAACTAGAGATGTGCGAAAACTACTTTGAACTTCAGAGTGATAGCAAATCTGCAATAAGCATTGCAAAGAATCCAGTGCACCACGACAGAACAAAACATGTAGAGATCGACAGACACTTCATTGCATAAAAGGTAAATGGTGGAACTATGAAACTAAACTATGTCACCTCACAAAACCAGTTAGCTGATGTATTGACCAAGGCACTTCCGAGGATTACCTTCGACGAAATTACATTCAACCTGGGTCTTTACAATATTTACTCTCTAGCTTGAGGGGGAGTGTGAGTAGTGTTTTATTCAAACTCTGTTTCTTATCTTATCTTATCTCTGACACTATCTTCTAATTTATAGAAAAGATGACTCTTATCTTATCCAGGTCTCTAATTCACGTGTATAAAATTCCTATGTATCCTATTGTGTAAAATTGTATTTTTTTTCTTTGAATAAAAATGACTGCCTTCATCATAAAACCTTCGCTGATCAGCTTTGAATGTACACGGGTGAACTGTGGGGTTAGACCGAGAGAGGACCGGCTTAAATGTAGCTGCCTGCTTCAACGACGAGGGTTGTTCAGCTTTTGCAGCTGTTATTCGAGACCCTAACCGGCTTTACAAGGATGGTGCCTGATCTGACTTTAGCCGAAGCCTTTTCCATTCGAAACACACTTCCATGGCTGCGTAAGTAGGAGTTTAGATTCAATAATTGCTGAATCGGAATGCTTGAAAGTTGTGAATGCGTTGTTGCAGTTGTGAACATGCTCGTTGTTCAAGAATAGGTTGTGAACTCCTCGTCTGAATCTAAAGTGCTTATAAAATGAATTATTAATATAGTAAAATGTTTGTTTCAAAAAAAAAATATAGTAAAATGTATATCATACTTTAAACATGATTATAATATAACATTTTAAATAGGACTGTGATATAATATAATTATGATATGAATATTACATACATGTAAAGGATTGAAGGCTTTAAAAGCTCAAAGCAACTTGTGCTGCTTATTCTTAATTTTTTAAGCATGACCAAATACAATATAAAACATTGTTCTAGGAGCATTTTCTATATACATATGGCTGCTGTTGTTAACTCTTAGGCCTAATCCTACTTAACATGGCACAGCAAGAAACTATGGTACTCTGATAACGGAAAGTATTCGCAGTGGTACATTGGTGACACAGAGCTTGCAGAGTCGTAACCTAGGGCGGTGCTTCGGCTTGGTGACACAGAGACCCACAAGAGAAGAGTGAATTTTCAATTGTACAAGAATTGGCGTAGAAGGCAGCAGGTGCTCAATTTGACCAAGTGAAGCTCTTGGTGCAAAACCAGAACGAAATGATCAAGTCAGGCTGCCTGTCGAAACGATATAATGGAATGCTCGACCGCTAGGTTGTTGCCTTAGTTGTTGCCATGGAACGCTATGCTCTCAGTCGTGAAGATATTCAGTGGCTCAAACTAGGTGGAAAGTGGCAGATTTTGTTTCTTCAATTGTTAAGCAATTCCTTCTCCATCCATTACATTTTGCCGGAACATAATTGGAAACCTGATTATTTCTTTGCAGGCTACAAGAGTGAATTGCATAATGGAACATGAGCCATTGCATCCACTTGTATCATAAATATTAAAATAAAGTGTAGATATCGTAAATTTTAGTTACAATTTACTGAGGGACATAATTATAATTATAGTATAGTACGATTTTTTAAAGTTGAGTCGTTATGCTATAGAGCGGGTTGCAACAGAGAAGCTGAGGTGTAGGAGATTCCGTGAGGGATTATTATTGATATTCATACCCAGTTGGCCGAATATCCGTCTAGGGTATTTGTTGAGTTGACACCACATGTTATGCCTATATAGAGGGTACAAAACCTGATGATGTGTTTGTTTGGTGAGACCTACACTCCAAACAAGAGGATTTCAATATCAGTGAATCTGTCTCAGTCAACAGCCAAGAAGGCCAGAGATTCCCATGGTTCGAGAAGAGCGACGTCAACCCAGTCGCAGAGATCTAATCAGCGGTCCGATATAGGGTATCGTAGGAGACCATCAGCTTCACCTTCCGTGGTAAGCACTGGAGGTTCAAATAGAGTCAGCTTATTCAGAGTATTAGTATTGTGACAAGAGACGCTGAAGGAAATGCTTTAAACTTCTTAAGACTTGCTATGGATGTGGATACCTTGAGCACTTTGTGAGATATTATCCAATTGCTGTTACCGACGCTCCAGCTCGGTCTTAAAAGACGACCACAATAGCTCAACGTAGTAGTGAGTCTACTCAAAGAGGTACCAATGCAATTCATGGGAAGGAGAGAGTAGAGGTGTTTCTCAGCGTATTGTTGGGTTGGATGCTCGTGTTCCATCTCATCAATACGTTGTGAGAGCCAAAGAGGTAAATATATTTTTCTTGTGTCAAGTATACGACGCGCAGGAGGATGGTGACCGGCGTATAAGAATTCACCGCACGCAACTGCTTACATTTTCAGAACCGTGAGCTTGAACTCGATTCCAGTTTACCAAGTTTACTGGTTCTTAATAAAGCGCTTACTTGATGTTCTTAGAATAAATTTTGAAATAACTCGAAAATTGTTTTGTCAAGATTCGTCACTGATGAGGACCCTCCTTAACTACAAATAAACTCGAGTTAGCTGAAAATCCGATAAAAAAAACTCTATATAACTAAGCACTGGAGCAAGAATATGATGTTTACTTTGGAATATGACGATCTATACGCCATATTAATATGGAACAACTTGTTTGTACTTCATCCGAAGTCTAGACAACCTTTTTTGTAGTGCAGATTTCTCGTCCTTCTTCCCTAGTTTATCCAAATAGTATACAACCTTATTTAGGGTTACCATAACCTCCTCACTCTCATCCCCAAACTCTTCCTCTTGAATCCTCAAAACTCTCTTGAGCTGCTCTAGTAACTCGGCCTCACCCTTACCTAATCGGGTCTGAATCGAAACCAAACAATCCAAAGCCTCCCCTGCAATAACATAGATGAACATTACAAGTTTATACTAGAGCAATCATGATTTATGCATGGTCATGACTTCGGTCTATACGCGATACTAATCGTTAAGGTGTGCAAAACCACCAAAATGGCTCAAAGGAAACAATATTTGGGCTAATCAAACTTGGAAGTAGTAACACCTATCCGGAAAAAAATGGCAGCAGTAAATAAGATTAATAATATTTACCAACAGGGAGAGAATCTTTTCCGAATGCATTCTCGCGGATGTGTAAGGCCTCGAGTGCTATTTGTTCAGCTTCTTCATCCCGCTTTAAATGGTAAAGGGTGACAGCAAGATGCAGCATCGGGAAAGTGATGGACGGATTGTCAGGCCCCTCTGCTTTCGTCATGATTTCCAAACTCGCTTTCAACAACTGTTCGGCCGTTACAAAATCTTTCGACTGTGAATATGATGCTGCAAGATTTAGGTAGTGTGTAACTAAGCTGGGATCGTCTTTTCCTTTAAGTTTCTCGGTGATCAATAAACATTCCTCCAGCAGCTCCCGACCTTCTCTTCCTCTGCCAGCAGACAAATAACAACCGAATTAAGACTATGCTTTTACCAAAGGTAACATACAATACGAAGCGCAAGCCAATGTTACTCGGTGTCGAGTATATTGCATATCCTCATACCCAAGTCCGAATATGTTCCGGACAAGGATATCAAATAGATTGTTTCTAGATGCTATCCCATGTGAACAGTACTCCCACCCTGAGAGACATCTGGGGATATCGACAGATTGGTTTGTCATTAAGGCTTGGGAAAACCATGCATTAGAATTTACCGACTAGTCATTATTAGTCATAATCATGCATCGAACAAACCTTCCCACAGCATGAAGTAGTTCAGCTAAATCTATCCGCATATTCTCCATCATGCTATCATCTAACGACAAGTAACTTGAATCTTTCATTATCTGGAGAGCCTTTTTGTATAAATCAATGGCTGCATCTGCATTCCCTGTAAAGAAACGTGATACGATGAACTATACTTGAAGTTTAGCCTTTCATATCACTGGAGAACGTCTAATGATTGAAAACCAACACAAGGGCCCCGAATTCTGGATGCAGGTGGGAAGAGAAAAATAAGAGAAGCTACCTCTAGCACATTTTGCATGGGCTAAGGAACACATAGCAAGTCCAACTCTTCCATCATTTCTCCCCATATAACTTAGTATATATATATTTAAAATTCTGAAAAAAAAGGGAAAAAATAGTAAGTGAACAATGAACACAAAAGCCGCAACCGAATCAATATGAAGGGAATCCTCACTAACCTAATAAAAGAGTCTTCTGCACCGGTAACTTTACTCTCCTTCATTAAAAGACTTCCGAGACCAAACAAAGGTACAACAAGATCCTCACTTTCAACACCTCTATTTAGTTCCAAGATGCGAATCACACGATGATAAATATCGACTGCTTGTGTAGCTTTCCCACTAGAACTAAGAACTTTTGCCATTCCCAACAATGGTGTGACAAGGACAAGACTATTTTTACCTAGGAGAATACATGCATTTTGAGATAATCATCACTTATTTAAGCTCATGCAAATGTCAACAGTGGGAAAAATAGGCAACAATGATTAAGGCCCGTACCATGTTTGTTATCTAGAATATCCGTAACTCTTTTATTAACAAGCAAGGATTTCTCGAACTCCCCCAAATTTGAATACATGCTTCCCATATGCACAAGTATAGAGTCGAGAAGGGGTTCATCATCGTTTTGATCATCTATAATCTCACTAATCTGCCATCATGAAAATATGTACAACATTAAAAGAGGAAACAAGAAGAAAAGTTGTTAATGTATTCAGAGCACTTTAGTGTTTATCCATCACTTGGGCTGTTGGAACTTAAGAACCTATTAGCCACACGCACAGACAATCAACACGCGAATTTATGAATATAAGGAAAGCAAAAACAGGTAAAACGTAACATGTTCAAGTACAATACTTACAAAGTTTAAATGAGGGAAAGAAATGGAGCTCCTCGACATCAATGCCTTATTTTCATCATTATAATGAATTTCTCTCTCTTGAAACATGAAACCCTCTAGGATGTATTATTGTTCACATACAGTGTGTATATGTTTCATTAGCATCATTTAATTCACACATTCTAATGAGTGTACAACAAGATTAATTGAGATACGATATAAGAAGAAATAACTCTTCATTCCCTGAGATGAAACATTAGTATTTGCTAATGTTAGATTTAGCAATCTAGAATCACACCGGTAAGTTATTAGTAGCTGAGTGCACTATCGTGTGGTGTATAGCGAAGAAGCCTCGAAAACATAAAAACCGCGTATAAAAGGGAAAATAAAGTTACCACATCGAGCAGAGACCGTACAAACTTAAAATTTCCAACAGCCATGTAACCCAAGGCGATGACATCAAGAATAGCAGCTTCTTCCACGCCTTTTGAACCAGCATTCATCTGTTCTTTTACACCTTCATAATTTGCTTGAAGAAGATCTACAGCATCTTTCTCATTCCCGGTCGTAATTAAAGTTCTGACTTCATTGAACAGCTCTTGAAGCTGTCTCTCAAAGTCTCTAACACCATCAGAGGCACTTGCTTCATCAAACACTGTTTTAGACTTGCTAATACCAGATGGTAGGAATATGATTTATTTAAAGAGAAACTTCAAAACATTGCCAACGGTTTTCAGCTTCTTAATTTTTGTAGACTCATCAGTTAGAGGATGGCTAGAGAATGATACAACTAAACAGCTAATAATGAAATCAGAACAATGTCAAGATCATTTCATTGGTCAGACTTAATGGTAAAGACCTATGTTATTCGTACTTGAGTGCTGGACAGGTTTTTCTACAATCTTTTCAAGGATCATATCTCCATAGTTATGTCCAAATATGCATTGGAACCAAGTCCTTTAAGAAAAGTGAACAATCAAAGCAACACAAACAACGTCTGAAGCATGAGATTTTCAGATAAAGGCAAATCCCTATTTTATTCAGACTTGAATATCGGAAACTGGTTTTCCTGGTCATATCTTCATAAATTTTTCAAACACGCATAGGAAAAGGATACCATGTAATATAATGCATTAGAATTCCAGACTTGAATATAGGAAACGGGTTTTTCCTCGGACTTGAATATCGGAAATGGGTTTTCATGTCATATATCCATAGTTTTGTCAAAACATGCATAGGAAACAAATACCAAGTAACATAAAGCATAAGAATTTCAGATGTCGCAAGAGGTAAATTACGAAACAGTAACATTAATACAATGACAGAAAATAAACATGGATAATTAAGATAAATTCCCCACCTGTGGAAGCCAGAAGCAGCATTATCTTGATGAGGAGAGACATGGGTTTCCAATGAATCAACTGCAGCAAAAGGTTTCAACATAAATTGGCGGCTGCCAAAAGTTGAAATAGCTGGTACCAAGTAAAGCTTGAGCTTGGGTTTATGGCTCCGCAAAGTAAACGAGATAGAGCTGATACTCGAGTGGCAGCACTGTGAATGCAAGTTTATAGACACAGGGCTTGTCCTGAAACGATTTTAAAAGAAAACATCAATTCTCAAGAAAGGGTTCTTGTTTCTAGCCCAAAACTATGCACAGACTAGAGTTGAATAAGCAAGGAACAAGGAGACAGCTCGTGCTATTATAGAACCCGGAATAAAGAAAACCCCAAAAGTAATCCGAAAACAGTAGCAGATATATGAAGATAAAGATTGTACCTGTAATTTTTTAAAGAGGCAGAGGGGTGATGAATAGAAGCTGCCATGAGAGTGGGAAAGAGTTGCAGTGAGAAGAACACTGAATTTCCTTGCTTTGTGTTTTATTTTGTTTCCCAGTTTACTAGGCTGAGCCAGAGAGACGGCTAAGAGATTTGGGATTAGATTTGGGGGAATAGACTGAGGTGGCGTTTAGTTCGTTAAAATGTTGAAATTGGAATCTATGAAGGAATTAAAATTTGTAGGAATTGAAATTTAATTTTATATTTTATTTGTTTGGCAGGAAATAGAATTAGAATCCAATTTCATATTTTATTTAATTCGTAGACATGTAAGATGAATTTGATTTCAATAATGTAAAATAATAGAATTGTCTTTCTTATTTTTTTTTACTTTATTTTAGTTTATTTTATAATTTACAAGTAATAATATATTATAAAAAATTAAAAAATATTAAATTTTCATTTTATTGATTGATTATTCATTTTAATAAATTATAAAAATCATGCTAATAAACATTATAAGTTAAAATCATCGCAATCAAAATATGTTAATAAATTATCAAAAGATAGAGTAATAGTTCGATACATTCCAATCGGAGTATGTTAATTAGTTATAAAAAAATATACCAAAAACTATTTTTATTCAATATATGAATTAGAAACCCGACCCGACACGACTCAAAATAATAAAAAAATTATTTTTATTCAATAAAAACATTGACTTAATTGAAAAAAATTATATATAGAGGGGTATTATTGTAATTATTCCTAAACATATAAGGTAAAATTATATTTTTTTTCGGGTCGGTTCGGTTTTTTTCACTCTAAACCCGAATCCGACCCGAATATCACACTTAAAAAAACCCGACCCGACCCGAATATCACACTTAAAAAACCCGACCTGACCCGAACAAAATAAAGTTTCACCCGACCCAACCCAAATATATGAATTAGAGACCCGACCCGACCCGAAATAATAAAAAAATATTTTTATTTAATAAAAACAGTGACTTAATTGAAAAAAATATATAGAGGGATATTATTGTAATTATTCCTAAATATATAAGGTAAAATTATATATATTTTCGGGGCGGTCCAGTTTTTTTCACCCTAAACCCGAACCCGACCCGACCCGACCCGAAATAATAAAAAATATTTTTATTTAATAAAAACAGTGACTTAATTGAAAAAAAAATATATATATAGAGGGGTATTATTGTAATTATTCATAAATATATAAGGTAAAATTATATATATTTTCGAGTCGGTCCGATTTTTTCACCCTAAACTCGAACCCGACCCGAATATCACACTTAAGAAAACCCGACCCGACCTGAAATAATAAAAAAATATTTTTATTCAATATATGAATAAGTTACCAAAAGATTGATGAGGGTAATATGGTCAAATTTCAAATCCCTCCAACAAGGGAATAAAACTTTCCCTCATTTGACGGAATTGAATTCCATCTGGGATTTCAATTCCCTTGAAAAACTTGAACTAAACATGGGAAAGTGGTAGAATTTAATTTCAATTCCCATCAATTTCAAATGATTCCATCCGATCAAACGCCACATTAGTTGTCATTACTAGGGTACCCAACATAATACTTGTACATTTGTGTTCGATTTGAGTTTATTCTTATTTTAAAAATATTTTTAATTAATATATTTTAATTTTTAAAAAATTAATGATGAAAGTGATTATTTCGAACATAGAATTTAATAAATTTTAATGCATTTCATCCATTTTCAAAGATAAACTATTCATTTAATCATTTATTTATTCTTGAACCTATTTAATCATCAAATTATTTTTTTAAAGGTAAAGTACATAAATAGTCCCATGACTATAGAATATTATTTTGTTGAGTCATTCGACTATTAAATATTATAAAAGATCACCCGACTATTCATTATGTTTCTAATTTGTCACTTCCTGTTAAAAAATTGATATAGTCTGAGTTGAACGTTAACCTGCCGAATGAAATATGATAAAATTTGATTTCATAATCTCAAACGATTATCATATCTCAGTTAGCATGTTAATTTAATTTTTTAACGTAAAAGGATGGGTTTAGAACATAATAAATAGTTAGGTGATCATTTTGTAATTTTTAATAGTCGAAGACTCAACAAAGCAGATGAACTATTTTGTAACTTTTAATAATTAGGGGGCTCAACAAAATAGTATCTTATAGTCGGGGGATAATTTGCGTACTTTACCCTTTTTCTAAATTACTCATTGTTTGGTTTAACAGAAATGATAATGTGATATGGTATAATAACTTTAATCATTAAAACTTACACATTCTATAAAATTGATCATAATTCAATAAATCTCTAATATTTAAAAATCCTATTTTTTTAGTTTGAAATAATTTATTAATTTAATAATAATAATTATCATTAAATTAATCCTCAATTTTTTATTATCTGAAAAGTTTTCAGTATTCTCTTTCGACTTCATCCTCCACAATCTCAATTCTTTCATGATTGTCATGTTTCAGACATTGATTTCTCCCAATTTTGTGCTTTTATTCATCTTTATCTTGTCTTTCCCTTATTCCTAGGCTTCAACATAAAATATTAAAGTCTTTTACTAAATTCAAACTCCATTGTTAATTTCACCAAAAACTATAGTAAGATTATTGACTTCGTCGTCATCGTTAACAACATCATCCTTTTCAGGAAACGACGATAACCATACAATTGCAAAGGTAATAATTGTAACAACCAACGAGAGAGTTAGGGATAATTCCTGGTGGAGAGTGTCCTCGAATGAGTTCACTAGAATTAAGGATAATATAAAAAGTTTAATATCGGATGACAATGGATTGGGCGTTCTTTGTTGAAGACAATTTCAAAACGGGTGTGCTATAAATGAGTTTCGACAAAAGGTTTTACATGTTTCAAAGGATGAAGAAGATGGTAGTGACAGTGGCAATAGTGTAATGGTTCACAAAGAAGGTCAGCCAATGAAACTCTTACAGAAGATGAAATAACCTATGAGGATCCATCATGAAGCCACAACCAACTGACACGACGTTATCCCATAGGAGTTTAATGCATCACTCACAAAGTTATACACGGGAAGATGAAATTTTAATGTTAGGTTCCATTCCTCCCATCCCCATGGTCGCTCATACAATTTGATCCATAAAAAAAAAATACTAAACTCATAGTTCGACTCAACAATAGATTATTGATCTCGAGCCGACAAATTCTGCATTCGAAAAAAATATCATATCATTTGATGGTCGTCGACGGTTCACCTTCATCCTCTCCTCTTTTTCCTTTACAACCTTCACTATACTCTTTCTCATCATCATGACATCAAACTCAAACAAAATTCAGAAACAATTTCACAGACATAAAACATCAATAAACGAGAAGATTTATAACTACTACACCAAGTCCTCCTTATATAATCTAACGATTAATACGCCCTAAATGGTCAAAACAACACATCAATCTAAACAAGGCGATGTGTTTATCCGAAAATGACCTAATAAATGCCGGTAGCGATTCAACAGTAAAATCTCAGGTCAAGCCACTTTATGACATCTCTTCGACTAAATGGGGATAAATGTTGTATCTCTGCTAAAGAATCTCTAGAGGATCCAAAAGCATTTCTGAATGTTTGACGCTTTGAGAACTCCAAAAGACATAAAGTGAACGTTTCCAGAAAAAGGACCTTAAATGTCTATCTATCAAAAAGTTGTGATCTCTTTACGTGATCTTTGATAGGCCCACGTGAACTATCAGAACTAAATTTATTCTTACCAGACTGTATCAACATAATTTATTGGCCTACGAGTAGCCATCATATCTTATATTAAAACTAAGAGTTACTATAAAATTTATTGACCCAAACCGAGAGAATAGATGCAATCTAGGTGGAACCACCTCATCCTCATTTACTTCTCTTCTACCTCACTGTAGAAATAGGGAATATTAAAAGAGGTGAACTATCTATAACTATAGCAACTCATTTCTCATGAACAATTTCATCCACATGTTTATTTATAGATTGAATTAATACATAAGTTTATTTGAAATATGTATATATATTGTCTGATTTGGTTTTTAAATTATATTATTTTTTTTACTTTTAGTTTTTCAAAAAGACAACGTTATTTTTTGCCCCACATCGTTTAAAAACATTATTGACACATATTTTATTGGATGGATAAAGAGTACTAAAGAGATAAATATATATCATTGAAATTTTAAATTATCATATATTTTAAGTATTTTCTATTAATATTTTAATTTCATACCCTTAAAATTTTGTAATTATGCACCTTTAAATTTATAATATAATCTCTTAAAAATTTATAATCTCTATTATAAGACCTAACTCTATAAAATATAACTTTATTCCAATGTAAGAGCAAGGATGATACTGTCACGCTCGACGAGCACGAATGAGCACAATTAATGATGAACACCATTAAATTAATTTATAAAATGTTAAATTATAAAGTACTAAAAGTATAATTATAAATTAGTTAAAAATCTAAATGTAATTTAATTAAAATATAATATTTATAAAATATTACTTTTTATAATCTTATTTTAATTATAATTAGATCGAATATTAATTTGAGAAATTTATAAACCCTAATTTATTTTTATAACTTTGAAGCTCTCGCCTCCGCCGCCGTCATCACCGTCGCCACCATCGTCACTGTCACTGGTATCATCTTTCACCGCTGACGAACGAAAAAGACTAAATCATAGGCGAAAGATGATATCGGTGGTGGTGACGACGAAGACTTCAAAGCTATGAAAATAAATTAGAGTTTATAAATTTTCCAAACTAATATTTGATCTAATTATAATTAAAATAAGATAATAAAAACTAATGTTTTATAAATATTGTCTTTTAGTTAAATTACATTTAGATTTTTAACTAATTTATAATTATATGTTTAGTACTTTATAATTTAATGTTTTATAAATTAATTTAATGGTGTTCATCGTTAATGGTGCTCATCCACGCTTGATGAGCTTTGTAGAATTTTTCGTAAGAACAAGCATATTTTGTCGAATAGTTACATTGTTCATTTTTGTTTCTTCATATTTCCTTATATCATTAATTATAGACCCACTAAAAGAAAAGAACAATTAATGATGAGCACCATTAAATTAATTTATAAAACGTTAAATTATGAAGTACTAAAAGTATAATTATAAATTAGTTAAAAATCTAAATGTAATTTAATTAAAATACAATATTTATAAAATATTACTTTTTATAATCTTATTTTAATTATAATTAGATCAAATTTTAATATGAGAAATTTATAAATCCTAATTTATTTTTATAGCTTTGAAGCTCCCGCCTCCGCCACCGTCGTCACCGCCGCCACCATCGTCGCTGTCACTGGTATCATTTTTCACCGCTGACGAACGACAAAGACTAAATCGTCGGCGAAAGATGATATCGGTGGTGGCGACGACGGAGACTTCAAAGCTATGAAATTAAATTAGAGTTTATAAATTTTCCAAACTAATATTTGATCTAATTATAATTAAAATAAGATAATAAAAACTAATGTTCTATAAATATTGTCTTTTAGTTAAATTACATTTAGATTTTTAATTAATTTTTAATTATATGTTTAGTACTTTATAATTTAATGCTTTATAAATTAATTTAATGGTGTTCATCCACGCTCGACGAACTTTGTAGAATTTTTCGTAACAACAAACATATTTTGTCGAATGATTATGTTATTCATTTTTGTTCCTTGATATTTCCTTAGATCATTAATTCTAGACCCACTAAAAAAACTATTCTTTATTTCCTTAGAGTCCCCTTTTCCTACCCTCGATTAGTATTAAATTTAAAATTAGTAAAAAAAAAACTTTGTCCCTACTTAATCTCTATGAGAACTTTTTAAAGTTTGAATTTGTACAAGAGTCAACCATCATGCTACATGGGCTGAATCTATGGGCTTTAGATAACAAAAAGAAGATCAAGAAAAAAGCGTTGATTGGGTCTGGAGACTTTCATTTTTCATAAACCCTATTGGCATCTAATTCTCCTTAGCTCCTACCGCAATTTCCACTTGGGAAGACCACACATGGCTGCCGGCTCAGGCTTATCCCACACCCAAAACCAATGGGAATTCCGCTGGTATTTTTCTCTTTGTCTCTCCCTTTTCCACTCTTACAATTCCATGAGTTTCATCCTCTTACTTCCTAAAGTTACATTCTTTCACTTTTCCATTCATTTTCTGGGTTTCTTTTTTCGTATATGCAGTGATTTGGAGGTAGATTTTGAGTCTGAAGAGAATTCTTCAATAGTCTATCATGCATTGGGTGTTGATAAAGAGGTAATGTTTTTAACCTTCAATGATATTGAACCCCTTCTTATTTATGAGAAATATTGTAATTATTTTTAGCAAAATTAAAATTTGGTTCATGTTGTAATGCCAGTTGCAACCAGATAAAGTGAAGAGGCAAATGTCAATCTCTGATGGGAAACTTTCGGTGTAATCCACTTGTTACTCTAACTTCTTAGTTTAAACTATATGTCCCCCTTTGTATAATTGCTTCCAAACTCATCTTTTATGGGAATTGCATGGTTGGTATCCTATATAACCATGTTACCAGGCACATATTTTCATATAGTGTTGGAAAAATATTGAAAATGTTTGAGCATACCCGAGTTAGACACGTCTCCGTATCGGATTGCCGCTTCGAATCCGAGAAACATGGTGTTACCTTTGTGCTTTGGTGGCACCTTAATCTCGAGTTTTTTACATTAGAGTTTAGGGGGGGTGTGGAGATAGGAATGGCTTATCTCTTGTTCCATAATCCAACAAATGATATCCTAAATGCAGGGGGACAAGAAACTTTATGGGGTGAAAGTTCTCGGATGGTAGTAATCTTTGTTATTCGGACTCGAGTTTGAGTATCATATACAAATTTGTTTTTCATACAAGTACGTTCAAATTTATCTATGTTTTCTATGTATTTGGTAAATCCTTAGAGGACCATATCATCGTACTCGCGTCTAAATATGCGTTAGACATTAGTACTTCAAGCAAAGAGAAGAATCCGAGCAACATAGGGTGCTGATATTTTACTTCTTTTTCTGAAGTATTTCTGGTTTTGAACGCTTTATTCCTTCTAATGCCGTTTCCTAACCACATTTTGTAAATAATTAGGCACTTTGAAGCAGTCGAAGCAAGGTTTCTCCGTGCATCGTTTTCAGCTTTTGTTGATGTACTCACCCTCGCCACGAAAACCATCGAAGAACTCGGGCCAGGAATGGTATTGTGATGTTTGATTATTGTGATCTTGCTACAAATGCAGTGGGATTCTGGCATTAATGTATTCTTTTTTTTTTCTTGTACTTCGTCTTTGAATTCTTAACTATATATGTGTGATTTTTGTTGGGATGTAAGAAGTTCACCTTCTAGCACATTATCATTATCTGGCAGGTTCTTCCTTGTATGTTGATCAGCTCTAAAAATGTGGAACTATTACTAAGCTCTCTTTGGTTTAAGAGGTGTTTGGTTCACGTAATGTAATGTAAGAAAATTTCTCTAAATAAGATTTTCGAAATCTGATATTACCCTATCCATTATTGAGAACGTAATAATAATCGTGTTTCATCTGTTTGACAAGAATGTAAGATTATATTGTTTGGTTGGAGAATATAAGATTACTTGAATGCTTATTAAATTACTCTTGTAATATATTTTACTTTTAACAAATTTCAAAGATTAAATTGCAAATATTTATATAAAGATTCATAGAAATATTTATTGTACACCATTTAAATTTAGTAAAACTTTATATTTAACTTATTAATATATTACATAATTTTTTGGCTTCATGATATCACTTGTTTAAGAATCGCTATTGTAGTAGGTTCTTTGCTCTCTTTAGTACGGGATTTAGTCTTCATTTTTTTTTCATTCTTTGATTAGTTTGATTATAAGAAAAACTAATCATATATTTAAAATCTTTTATGTTATTTTCTAAAAGTAATTTTAAAATACATTAGTTTTATTATTATTATTTTTGAAAAAAAAATTATTAGGGGTTGTAATTTTTTTTAGGGGAAATAGGGTACGTAGATTGTATTAACTACAAAGTGCATTGTTTAGAATAATATCAAAAATATATTCAGGACAATTATAAATAAAATACAACAATGAACAATTAGTGAGAAGCTGATGAGCAATAGTGAACCTGAAAAATCTGAAAAATATCCAAAGCGAACGAATAAAAAATCAATCTCCCCTTAATCGCTGTTCCATCGTATCATCATGAGAAGAAACGAGAGATGACAAATGATTGGTCTTTAAAAAGAAGTTGTGACCCAGATAAAGGAAAACACGACTAATGAATAGCATCATGAGAAGAGCGAGATCATGAATTGGACAGACATGAAATATCTAGTCCATGTAATAGACTCATGACAAATGAAGAGATCAATACGACAATACCTGCCCGGACAAAGACTAACCGACACATATATCCGAAAACCAACAAAATGTCACGTATAAATGAACGAAGTAACCAGACATCAAGGAGACAAACAACCAAGTAAACTCGTAGAACCATACATCAAGAAGAAGAATGGAAGAAACCTGCACCGCGAACCCGAAGACATCAATAACCATAATATATTTTATCAGATATTAGACCGAAAAAAAAACATCGCTATAAATATATTAAAATACAACTGAAAAATAATAAAATCAAATAACAATCTACTAAGAAAAAGCATAAATGACAGGGAAGTGGCGGGATAAAGCCACCGTCGATGTATTGGACACCAAAATTGCTTGTAACACTGGTATGCATAATGATAAAAAGAGAGATGAAAAATGATAGAGAAATAAAAAGGTGTGATACAATAAACTCAATTTTTTGAGTTGAATTAATGTTAGATATTATAATGATATATATTTAAGTAAAATAAATGTAACTCATTTATCATTCTTACCAAAGTTATATTGTCAAGTAAAATTTAATAAATATATTTTAAGTGTGATAAAATTTAATTTTAATAACAAATTTACATAATAAAAAGACTTAATTCATGAAATTTTATTTTTAAAATAAAATATTTTCACTTTGTTAAATAATTTTTAAAAGGTTATTAAAATTAATTTTTAATAAATATCTTTATTATCATTTTAAAAATAAAATATAAAACATTTTTAATAAATACCTTTGTTAAATATAAAAACCATTATTTAGCATTTGAATAATAAAGCAGTAAAAAGAGGAAAAAGGAAAAACCAACAAAGAAAATAATTGCTTAAGAAGAGAGGAAAGAGGGCAGTTTGGTTACGAGGAAGTCCATTCTTTCTCTCCCAATTTCATTTTTCTCATTATATTCTCTTCTTCTTCCTCCTCTAATTCGAAACATAAATAGAGATGGCTAAATGTTTTGGAAAATGGAGAGAGTTTTGAGAGGAGAAGAAGAGAATCGGGCAAAATTGGGGTTTTATATTGTAAATTTCCTTTGAATTTCTGGGTTTTGATTCAAATTAATAACAGAATCCGAGATTTCAAGAGACTCGGAGTCTGTCTCGGTGTGTGAATGGAGTTTGATAATATCGAGTGTGTGTCGTCCTCAGAGGGATTGAATGAGGATGAGATCCATCACCATAATCCTCTCCATCCAAATCCTCATCATGGTCACCATCAACTCTCATCGTCAAAGCCTCACAATGACACCAACAACGCCAACCATAGTAACGTCGTGGGTGCTACGGGGGATCACTCCCGCTACCAGCGTCCATGAGTTGTTAGAATGCCCTGTTTGTACCAATTCTATGTACCCACCAATCCATCAGGTCTTCTATTTTTTTTTCAATTTAATTGTGTATTCTTTGTATTCCAATCTCGGGTTTTCTTTTGTAGATTTTGCTATTTTTTGGTTTATTTTGTTGGTTGATGGGTTCGAATATATTTGCCTTGCATTTAATTGGGATTTTCATTATGTTTTGATTCTAGATTGTTTCTTCGTTGGATTTTGGTTCAGAAATTTTAAACCCCTCAGTTTGATTTATGGTTGCTTTTCAAATTTGGATGGAATTTCTGGGTTCTTTTAACATATAGCTTTAGCGAGGCTGTTTTAGAAATTATTAGGTTATAAGAACAACAATGATATTCTTTTAGTGAAAGATCATGATATTAAGAGGGTTTAGGGTAGTTACTACTTTGGCTTATTTAATGACGGTGCCTCTCCCTGTAGAGATAGTACCGTTGATGAATCAGCCGAACATTATACTATGGCCAATGATTGCCCTTCAAGTAGGATTGGGTTTGAGGAAGTCAAAATGACTCTTAGAAAGATGGGGAGGGACAAAGCTGTCGGCCCAGATCAAATTCCTATCACTGTGTGGTTGGCCCTAGGAGAAGAGGGAGTTAAGTGGTTGACCAACATTTTATATTATTTAGAGACTACCAAGATGCCAGAGGAGGAGAGAGTCTACGGTGATACCAATCTATAAGAATAAAGGAGATCCCCAACGTTGTGGAAACTATAGAGGTATTAAATTACTCAGCCATACCATGAAGCTTTGGGAAAGGGTTATAGAGGCTAGGTTGAGACAGGTTACTAGGGTTTCGGAAAACTAATTTGACTTTATGCCAGACAGGTCTACTACGGAGGCGATTCATCTACTTCGACGGCTTATGGAGAAATATAGGGAAAAAATAGAGATCTTCACATGGCGTTCATTGACCTTGAGAAGGCGTATGATAGCGTTCCCCGCGAGACGATCTGGAAGATCCTGGAAACGAGACGGATCCCAACTGTTTATATCCGGGCGATTCGTGATATGTACTGTAGATCTACTACATACGTCAGGACTACAGTTGGCGACACCGAGGCTTTTTCGGTGGAAATCGGACTCCACCAGGGGTCGGCACTTAGTCCTTACATCTTCGCCATGATTATGGATGACATCTATTGTGCGACACCAGACGGTGTTCCATGGTGCATGCTTTTCGCTGACGACATTGTCCTAGTTGCTGAAACAAAAACTGAGCTGAACAGTAGACTGGCTACCTAGAAGACTGCTTTGGTAGAAAAATGTCTAATGATCAATATTGAAAAGACAAAGTATTTATGTTTAAACTTCAGTGGAAACCAAAACGATGAAGATGTAGAAGTATGCATAGAAGGACACGTTCTCCCCTCAAAGGATTGTTTCAAGTACCTAGGGTCTATGATACATAAAGATGGGGTGTAGATGATGACGTTACACACCGTATAAAGGCGGGATGGCTAAAGTGGAGGGCTGCAACTGGAGTTTTGTGTGACAAGAAGGTGCCTCTAAAACTTAAGGGAAATTTTTATAGAATGACAATAAGACCAGCGCTGCTGTATGGATCAGAATGTTGGGCTATCAAAAAGGATCACGTAAGGAGGATGGAGGTCGCAGAAATGAGAATGCTTCGATGGGCATGTGGTAAGACTCTGTGGGACATGACATCAAACTCTGCTATTAGGATGTCCTTGGGGGTGGTGCCTGTATCCGAAAAATTGAGGGAGGGAAGACTACGGTGGTTTGGGCATATCCTAAGGCGACAACCATCGGATGCGGTCAGGAGGGTAGAGTCGATTACAGTCGACGGTGCCAGAAGGAGAAGACGACGAAGGCGGAAGTGGGAAGACTGCTTGAGATCTGATTTGAAGGATTTAGCCCTTACCGAGGACATGACCTCTGATAGGAAATTATGGAGACTTACGACCAGGGTAGCAGAGTAGTGCGGGTCACATCTATAGGGTGTGTCATCTATGTCTTCTTTTAATGCATTTATAGTAATTTTCATGACTTCTACTTTTTATACGTTTCTGTCATTTGAATTTATGAAGGCTTAAAACTAGGATAGCGAGTAGTGACTTACGACCAGGGTAGCAGAGTAGTGCGGGTCACATCTATAGGGTGTGTCATCTATGTCTTCTTTTAATGCATTTATAGTAATTTTCATGACTTCTACTTTTTATACGTTTCTGTCATTTGAATTTATGAAGGCTTAAAACTAGGATAGCGGAGTAGTGTTACCTTAGTTTAGGTTTTATCCCATTGGACTTTATTCATTCTCGTAGCTTGCTAACGTTGACTACTGTGTATCATTCTCTTCATGTTTTCTCTTTTTAAGTTTTAGTCGAGTCTTACGGTTCTGTCTATATACAGAGATTTTTTACGCAGGGATTTATTTGCAGGGAGTACTTCCCAGTACAAACGCGCTTATGAAGACTGTATATGAAAACTATTCAACTATGTATTTCTTTATTTATTTATACATGCATTGTATTTTATCTTTATTTTAATTTTTGACTGCCAGAGGTCTTCTACAGAAGCTGATCTCAACCATGCGTTGGGGGCAACCTACTATTCTACCTCCCCCTTATCCCATTGCATATGGGAATATGGTTTTGTTGTTGTTGTTATTGTTTA